GGAGTGGCGGACTGGTGGGCTGGGAACGGGCTGAAGCAGCACCTTCCACGGCCCTCTCACGCAAGTGAGAGACACGCCGTTCAACCCCCGTTGTGTGAAATCCTGGTGTTTGTGTGTGTATGGGGGGCCAGGTCGTGCTGTGTCGCGCGCAGTCACGGTCAGTCGACCGTGGCAGCCACCGCGCCCATCCACCACTCCAGTTTGCCGACCGGCTCGGACGGCGGCGGGGGTGTGGGAATGGGAAGGGAGAGTGAGGTCGACGACTCAGCGCACTTTTTCCTCACTATAAACAATCTGACGCGCTTGAAGCTATCACGGTGCGCTAAAAGCCGTGGCTTGGAAGGTTGCCAACTGACGGGGTACCTTGGACCTCCTCCTTAACATGAGGCGGTCTGAGAGTCAGGCTGCAATGGCTCCTTTTTAATGTGGCCTTTATGGCATTCCCGCCACAGTGTGGGATCCGAGCCAGTCGTTGGCGGCACGCCTAGGTGCGGCTTCGGCCGTGCCAGCCTCCAAATCTCTGTTGTTGGTTGAAATCCTGGTTATTTGTTGTGTGGACCAGGGGGTGTGGTGGAACGCCAAGGTGAGGATCCGCCCGAACCATCCACCTGCGGCCTCCCTCGTCTCCGGTCTTCTTGACTCTGTCTTGACACCGGGCTCGGGCGAGGGAGGTGGAGAGAGTGTAGGTAGATGCAGCGCAAGTCTACTGGCACTATAAACCCCTGCGCAAGTCACCGTCCCTGCTCCAACCTGCTGTGGGGCACACGGTGGACATCATCGAAATCGATGGTCGAACTGTCAATTAACGCTGGCTCTACGTTGACCCTAACCTTGATCCTAACTTGCGCAGAACATCGAGTCTAGCCTTAAACCCAATCTTTTGTCTAACTCCAAACCTAACCCTGATCTCAATGGAAGTTGGCACAAAACTACTCATATTTCAGGCGTTTCCTGTTTTCGTGTACTGTTTCGGAGGCCACAAGAGTACGTCTTACCTACCTGCGGTTGCTCGCGATGGAATAAATGGACACAGACGTCCATCACGATCGCCTGACCTTGTTTCGAACTCTTCTCTAGTTAGACT